GCGATAGAATGGAAATCGAAGATGGGGTATTATTTTGTTTTCCCGCTCCGCGAAGGAAAGCTTTCGCTTGGGCCAGTCAGCACACTATCCCAGTGAACTTCAATGGACTGGAATATCTTGCGTGATCCAAATTTTCATCATACCAACTCTCCAATGGCAAAAAATTAATATTTCAAGTCGATTTATGGCCAGCTCCTTGGCCTGCATAATTCAAAGGTTTCACATTATGACAGCAGGATACCACGTACGTATGTGATATGGTACAACACTTCGACCCCGAAAGTGCAAAATTCATGTAAACCTTTTGCCAACTTCGGTTCATCATCTCATGCTTTCTTCGATTTTGCAATAGCGGCCGTGAGAGTCTCCAGGAAGGACCACCACAATCGGAAGTTTACAAACGGAAAGATCGTCGGTGGCAGACCGGCTACTTTGGGTACTGCTCCCCTATCACACATTTTCATTCGCACCATTGCATGACTGGGGTTGGAGGAGATACATCATGTTGGACTCGATTGCAGGCCAGTTCCCATACCAGGTGTCACTACAGTATTACTCCGGCGGCTGGATACACTACTGCGGCGGGACCATCCTGGACGAGAACCACGTGCTCACCGCTGGTCAATGCCACCCTGTCCCCGGGGATTTGGTCTGTCATTCCTAGTTCTCGTTCGTGGTGTCCTAATGGTGGTAAGATGGGAAATTAATTATTTTCTGTTGTTGAGCAATGGCATTTCGCTTTCCTTCAGAAATATGTTTGGCAAAAAAATTACAATCTTGTTATGCCTGATGTGACATACCAATAGTGCACAAAGCCTTACGTCTTTAAGCCTTTCATTTCGTTTGCCAGTATTATCACGTACCACATATTTGGGTGGATAGTGCATGTTCCCAGGCTGAAACTTTGATCATTGGTTTTAACGCCTTCCGACATTATAGAGCGAACACCACCCGAAAGGCATACTAAATTATGTTCTCTTTGAGTAGTTTCATTGCCTTTTTTCATAAATGTAATTTGGATATTGCCATGCAATGAGGTCTGAGTGCATGGTTCTCAAAATTTAGTCTATTTTCATCCCGAAAATATATGAAATGTTGCCTTCTTACCCCACTTCCGTCCGGATTCGCGCATTCCCATAAAATAAAAATAAAAATTGCATCATCTTCGAAGTTTGTTAGTCTAGCATTCGTATTCCATTATTCGTTGGTTTTACCGACAAAGACAACCCTGATACGAAATGAGAACAGGGAAATGAATTACAATGCTGAAATCGTTTTGCAGGCTGTCGCTGGTATCATTTTGTTAGTCTAGCATTCGTATTCCATTATTCGTTGGTTTTACCGACAAAGACAACCCTGATACGAAATGAGAACAGGGAAATGAATTACAATGCTGAAATCGTTTTGCAGGCTGTCGCTGGTATCACCGACCTCCTGTCTCCAGGATTCGAAGTTCAAGCGAGGACCATTACCCGGGTTGTCCCGCATCCAGAATACTTTGGGTCTGTCACGTTTCTCTCTTTTCAGACGCTTTAAGCTGGATGTCTTGCGTCAAGATTATCAATGCCTTTTTTGGCCCTTGAAGTCATCTGGAAGGAAATTCATTCGCGAGTCCGATTGCGATGCGTATTATTGTTTACCGCATGAATTATTTTAATTCAGTGCTCAGGGCCCTTCTTTTACCTTTCGGAATCATTCAATGTGGCTCCCCAGACATTCTAATGAGGGTCAGTTCGACGTGCGATTTCTCCAATTCCACATTCCAATTAATCCTTTAAATGACGTTTAACCCAACGGAGAAAAATCTTATATGAATTGTGAGAGAATGCAAATGATTTCCAGAACGACCTAATGCACCAGGCTTGCCATTTCCCGTGGTCCGCCATCGATTCCTTGTGTTCCTTGATTTGAGCCCGCTATCATCACAAGCGAACAATTAAAAAAAAAAAATAGAAATCTTATGGCAGTGGTAGCCGCATCCTCGCATATTCTCAGCCGAAAACCTTGGAATTCTTTTCGGAATTTGACCGTAATCACACCAGAACGGCACTTCAAAGTAATGCCGCCATTTATTATGCAGGGAATAGTTTTAAATGCGTCATTGAAACTGTGTCCT